TCTCATAATGGAGTAGACAGTCTTATCGCTGTTTTAATTTTCTCGCCTCTTCAAGTTTCAGTTGAGCTCATGAAATTTCGTGATAATCCCCTGGATCTGTTCGAGTACTCGTCCACGACTTGTTAAGCCGCTCCTTTCAGCTTCCTCCCAATCCCGAGTATCCGCAACGAGATCCATCAAACCTAGCCATAAGAACTGCCAGCCCACAGAATCATAATCCTCCTCCTTTAACCAATCCAGCTCGAAAAATAAGTGACGATGTGGTTAAAATCTGCTTTTCCAAAAACATTCTGGTACCTCCAAATCAGACACGCATAGCATGTTACGCATACTTGAAATATCCTTTCGAGTGTGTTTCAACGGGCAAACGATCTCAACCACCAGGAGGAAAACTTCTATTGGAAGTCTGCCGAGATAGGAACTCTTCGTCAAGCTGGCTTGTGCCCTTTGGTCTCGAGCTGATTTGATCGCTTTCTGATTTCCGGGCACAACCCAAGGACTGAGGAAAACATTAATTCCTTTTTGGTAAAGCAGTCCCCAGCTTAGGCGTAGAGAACCTTCAAGTGAATATTCAGCCAGATAGGTCCCGTCTTGCCAAAAATCCATTGTGTGGTCAATCCCCCATATCGGGGCATATTCTATGTTTCCACTGCGCCAATATTCTCTCGCTGCTCGGACGATGGCGCCAGGCATTGCCTCAATCGTGTCTTTCCCCAGAATATGACCGAGGATCTCCCAACAGTGAGCGTGGAAAGGAAATCCCATATTCTTGCCTTCGTAGTGCTTCGAGTGTCTACCTTCGACGCCTGCCAGGAAGAACTGTCGAAATCGTGCGTTGTCGAAGTTCGATATGATCTTTCTACTGCAGATCTGCGCTGAATTCTTATCTCTTGGAAGGTAGATGAACGGTCCCTTGCAAGATGGGGGCCCAGTTAATCCAATTTCCGTGAGATAGTACTCGGAAGTAAAACAAGATTTAATGACTGTATTAGTTAGTTTCAGCTTTGAGTGTTGAATGGTCAAAATGGAACGTACTTGCTCGATAATAGCAAGATGACAGGTAAGGAAACTTGGTGAAATTCGCACTCTCCACCACAGTCGATGGCAGAATGAGATGGTCAGGAAACGGGACCCTCTTGCGATGAAGTTCCAACTCAGCCTCCTCGAGAACAACCAGCGATTTGTCGGATTCTATCTGTGAATCTAATGTCGGAGAATCTGCACCGCAAAGTATGCATGTTACTTGGGACCATGCCGAATTGTATGGCCTTGCCCTTTTCCAGTGCTTGGGTGGCATATTGAAGCTAGGACACAAGTTCAATCTTGGGATATTAACAAAAGAGCAAAAAAAATATTATCGAGAAGAACAGTTTCAAATTGGATGCTACTGCCTAGGAGAGCAGGCGGCGACTGAAGAATAGAGTGTACGTGAAGTGACGCATTGGTTACTAGTGCATGCAATCAAAAACTGCAGAACAAGAGCCTACGCGGCGTCGAACACAAAATACAACCGAGGTATAAATAGGCAAATACAAAAGTTAGTGCAAATGCACGGCACAGTGTCCAAGAAGCAAGTAGATACGGGCTATGTTCCTAAGGTATGAAACAGCTGGCGAAAGCCAAAATGCAGCCATTCTCTTTGCCCGAGGGCATCGCTTCAAACAACAGCTTTCCCTCGCGATAAACACAAACAACGGTCCACCACAGACAGGCCAACTTCAACCCCAACCCCGGCCCTGTCACTCTTCACTTTCACTCTGACTCTCACTCCCACAGTCCTAATCCTGTCCCTCCAGTCATTTCAACTCTATTGTCGTCACCCTCCGAAAGGCATTCATTTGCACCAAAGTCCTAGCCTTTGATGCGCTTCGTTAAAAGTAAAAGTACCCAGTGCGCGCGAAATTCCATCATATTAATGAAACCCCTCGGCACTTTTTACAGCTCTGGTCATGATACACGGCGTGGAGTATGAGTCACTGCCGAATATGCTAGAGTAGGCATTTACTGGGACTTGGCAGCAGCCTCGGCCTGAGCACGGAGGTTGGTGGAGGTACCGGTGCTGGAGAAGAAACGACCAACAACGGGCTGGAGGAAAGAGTGGAAGACGATTTGGGCACCGCTGGGATGGTGTTAGTACTTAATTTCCGAATGTGTTGGTTTTATCGGGCGGGTGCAATCTTACTTGGTCTGGGGAAGAGCCATCCAGAGGATCAGGACGAACTTGAAGATGTAGTAGAAGGCTGCGTGATAAGGTCAGTGTGGGTGGCAGGAAGGTCGCGAGTCATCTGTACGTACGGAACCAGTAGGCGGCGCTGATGGCGCTCTCAATGACGGTCAGGAAGGCAAAGACGACCCAGTACTATTGATAGAAGAGTTAGTCAGATGTTGCGCGAAGTAGGAAGTTGTCACGTGGGACTGATAAGGCCAGTTCCGCATGGACCGCGGTCCTGTGCCGGAAACAGGTGGCAGGGCTGGAAAGAGGTTGGGGTCATGAGAACATACAGTCAACCACTAGAAGAAGATAATTGTTAGCATATGGATCATTTCAACCTTGCGAAAATGTGGTTTCGGATTGCGTGAGTCTCACCTGAGTGTCATCCGAGGTGCCCGAAGTGAAGAGGGCCTGGAGCGAGTAGTAACCGGGGAGGAGGAAACCGGCGAAGTTAACGAGGAACTCGCCAGCGATGTTGAAGAAAACGAGGAAGAAGTAGACGCCGACCAGACCCAGGATGACATAGACCTTGGGGACGTTGGTCTGGCGCTCCAGGTTGTTCAGAACGGGGTACTTGGAGAGCTATTAAAGAACAAGCGATAGTCAGCACACAAGCTCGTAGAAGCAGAGGAGCGAAATATCGCCATCCTCAACTGTGAAGGGGATATCGCTAGTGCCTCGCGAGCTGAGGTGGCATCCATCGCAGACCATCACAGTTCCTGCAGAGCAGCAAACGGGCGGTGGAAGGACAGCTGCAGCTGGCGAGGCACCAGTCAACGCACACAAGACGGGAACACACCTCCTTGTCGAGCTGGGCAACAGCGTGCTGGGCACGATCCTGGAAAGAAGCCATTTTTAAAGGATGGTCTTTTTGAATTTTGATAATCGCTTCGAGTGGGCGGATGGCAATGGATCGAGGGATGAGAGGAGAGAATGCAGTCAAGCTGGGCTGGGCTGGCGTGGGCGTGGGCTCTGGCGCTTGTGCCTCTTGAAGCACGTGATCTCATGACGTACTCGGCGGTCAGAGGGTAGTAGTAGTATTACTGTAGAAAGATGAATACTAGTACTAGTACGTTAGATAGCATTGTCACTGTGGAATAAATAATAGATCAAGGTTCCAAGATTTATTATGCCACTGATCACCCGGGAACTGGGACTGCGTTGTCGAGTGGCCGCACAACACATACAAAGTACCTCCAGGGCTGTACTTCGCATGCAGCATACACAGACCTCGGAGGTACATCCTAGATGTACCTATGCCCAGGTGGCATCTGATTCTGCACCCTTACCCCAGAATCGTGCATACCAGGTACCAATGAGGGGTGTACCTCGGAATAACCACTGACACTACAGTATAAGAGCTGCCAGGAGTAGTCCCCTCGTGCAATTGTAATTACTCATCGCCTTTGTCAGGGCTGTCTTCCGAGCCCATATTCAAAGCATCACCAATGTGATAAATCTAGTAATGAATTGATCTGTCTACATTTGGTCCTCTCTTCTCTTTTCATCTCCTACCGACTGTGGTGATTGTGGTGACTGTCTCAGCCTGTTCACAGTACCTATCACGTGACCCGGGCTATACATCCGAACAAGAAGCCAGGGCCATTTGCTTTTTCTTGCTCATCAAGCATTAAAGTGATAGGATAGAATATCGGAATATTAATCAGCACGGATAAAGTCAACCGATCAAAAGTACAATTGTTTCCCTGTACTTTTTTGACCCGGGACTTTAGCCCCCTCCAAGGTCCAAGGGAAGCAGGCCTCATCACATCACGGTGTAATTAGCCGGGACTAGCCCAAGGCTTGGATTGGGACAGGTCAAAATGCCACAAATATGTATGTACCTCTGAGTGGAAACAGGCATTGTCAAATGCCGGAATCTTCAGTGGTGTTCATATGCACGATTCTATCATCGGTGGAGTAATTGTCAGGGATTGATTGCGGGAGAAGAAGGAATATCACTCGCTCACCGCCAGCTTTGTATGTAGTGTACGAGTACTGTCAACCATGAGGTGATTGGAGATGCAATGAGAGTGAGGATTCTGGAAGATGTCATGGCCAATTGATTTACTTCGTTTTTGATTTAATTTTGATTTAAATTTTTTTTTCTTCCCCTGGGAATCCCTGGGCTTTCCCACGGCCATCGCCCTAGTTCGGCCCGCACAAATAAAGCCAGTTCGAGTGCCATTACGAGTACCTTTTTCTTTCCCCCTCCCCTCTCAAGCCTCGAACCTTTATTTTTTTGGATTCCCCTTTACTTTTAACTTTTTTCCCTACCTACGCTCTTCTTTTTTGCCCTCAATTTCTTTCCTTTTGATCAACTTTCTATCCCCTACCCTCTTCTCTTCTCCCTCTGCTTCCTCCCTCTCTCTCTCTCTCTCTCCATCTTCACTGACCTCCCCACTCTGTGGCGCCGTGGGCCGACAATCCCATTGAGAACGTCCGTGCACCCCAGCCAGTCCGCCATTGGAAGACCGATGTAACCGATTCCACCTCCTTGAACTCCTCATCGGCCCCCAAGGGTTCTGGATAATCGTGCAACAATTGAGGGATCTATCGCAGTAAACGGCGCGAGTCCCCTATTCCAGCTTTCGACTACCGGTCCTCCCAAAACATCTCCCTCACCTGCCACCCCATCTCCGCCTCGAACAACAACACCACCCTCGCCCTGATTTCCGTCACGATCTAGAACGTGATCGTGACCGTGACCGTGCCATTGACCTGTCGCCCTTTTCGTCTGCCATCCTTGAATTCCACCGCCTAATACAATCCTCAAACAATCGTATCAATGCGTCCGCAGTAAGTTGTCTTCGGCTTGCTCCTCGCTCTCGCCCAATGCAGCTTCTAATTGTTTGGTCGCGTATAGACGGGAATATCACATTGTTGTTCTGGGTGCTGGAGGTGTGGGAAAGAGCTGTTTGACTGGTACACACAATCCCCTTCCTGCATGTACAACGATGCTGTGACAAGACCGCGTGGATCCACAGAAGCTCATGCATTGACAGCTCAATTCGTTCAAAATGTTTGGATCGAAAGCTATGACCCCACCATCGAGGATTCCTACCGCAAACAAATCGAAGTCGATGTGAGTGTTTCGAGTATCTCGAGTATCTCGAGCCAATATTCCAATATACCCGACTAACGCGTCATCCAGGGTCGACAATGCATATTGGAAATGTAGGTGCCAGCGAGCTGAGCCGACATTACGACCAAGCTAACCACAATTGCATGTTTCAGTCTCGACACAGCAGGAACAGAACAATTCAGTAAGTCTAATTCTGAATTCAATCTGCCAGGTCAGAGCTAACAACTTTCCCAGCGGCCATGAGGTACTTCCACCCCTTTCCTCTCCTTCCAGCCCAACCAACAAACCGCACCACACCGCATCACCACCACCACCATCACCTTCAACCAATTAACAAAAAACCAGAGAACTCTACATGAAACAAGGCCAAGGTTTCCTCCTCGTCTTCTCAATCACAAGCGCCTCCTCCCTCAACGAACTCTCCGAACTCCGCGAACAAATCATCCGAATCAAAGACGATGAAAAAGTACCCCTAGTAATCGTCGGCAATAAATCAGACCTGGAAGAAGACCGCGCCGTCCCTCGCGCCCGAGCATTCGGCCTCTCCCAAAACTGGGGTAACGCCCCATACTACGAGACCTCTGCCCGCCGCCGCGCAAACGTAAACGAAGTATTCGTCGACCTCTGCCGCCAAATCATCCGCAAAGACCTTGAAGGTTCCGGCGGGAGCGACTCCTTTCGCAAGCGCGAAAATTCCACACGAGATCGAAAGAAGGATAGAGATAATCGGTCTACGCGCCGTCGAACTCCTTGTGTGATTCTCTGATGATGAAATCTATGCCCCTCCGCCTGCTCCCCTCCCCTCCCCCCCTAAAACCCTTGATGAGGTTTACCTATCTTTTTTTTCTACCTTCCAACTTTTCTTATGGACGCGTGAACTTCCTGACTGCACTCTAGCTCTGCGCTGGAGTTTGGATGGATTCAATTGTTCATAGATGTTCTAGTCACGCTGCCTCCGCATCCACATTTGACGTGTTTTATGATGTTCTCGACTCACGCTTTCTGCATCTGCGCCCCCTCTACATAGAACGATGCGTCGCCGCCATTCGTCACATATTATACCATTGTTCTTTTTTTGCCCTTCTCTTCTCTCTTCTTTTTTACTATTCTTTATCTTTTTACCTACCATTTCACCCCCTTTCAACTGCTTCTTTTTATCACTTTTTACTTCTCCGGCGAAGCTGCGTGTCGGCTTTGCTTCCTTTTATCTATTCTTACATACTTTGGGCTTTGGATTTATGGGCTATTTGGCAAAAAAGGTCGCGATGAATAAAAGCGTTTATATTTCCCTGGGTCATTTTTTCTTATTCAATTCTTCTCGTGTTCTGATTCCAAGGTTCTTTTTATCACTGGCTTGATATTCCCGTTAAGTTTCCCTATTCCTTCCGAGTCTTTGACAACTATTACGCCAAAAGCGAAGTACGAAGAAAACGATATGCTTGATTGAATACTAGACAGTCCTCCATTGACCACATTTCTATGTTTTCTCTGAATTCCCATATACCGGGCTGCTTCGCACCTCACATCCGGAATACACCAAACCTAGTCTGAACATCCGGTTCAGCCTTCCCACCAACGGCAGCTGCCAATCCAAGCCCAAGCATTTTCCTCGTCTGAGCAGGCGGGATCACACCGTCATCCCACAGTCGAGCAGAGGAGAAAATGGCCTCAGACTCGTGATCAATTCGAGCTTTCAGTGCCGGGTCCGCCGATCGACCGACAGCCTCCATGACAGAGGATAATTGCTCCGAGCCCATGACGCCGATCTTGGCATTGGGCCACATGAACATCAAGCGGGGGGGAGTAGGCGCGACCACTGAAAGAGAAAAAGAGAATTAGATATATTCCATCACACAGGGAAGGAAGATCAAAGCAAAGCTAGAGAAGTAGACACGATCAAACTTACCACATGCCGTAGTTACCCGCGCCAGCACTCGAGCCAAAAACAACCGTAAATTTAGGAACATCGGCACAAGCAACCGCAGTAACAAGCTTAGCCCCATTCTTCGCAATACCACCCTTCTCCGCATCAGCACCAACCATGAATCCCGAAATATTCTGCAAAAACACAAGCGGAATCCGACGCTGCGCACAAAGTTCAATGAAATGCGCGCCCTTGAGCGACGACTCAGAGAACAAGATACCATTATTAGCGACGATGCCAACACGATGGCCGTGAATCCGCGCAAAGCCCGTCACCAGCGTCGAGCCATAGTCTCGCTTGAACTCGGCGAATTCGCTGCCGTCGACGATTCGCGCAATGACTTCGTGCGCGGGGATTTGGCGGCGGAGATTTGTGCCCACGATGCCGTTTAGTTCGGCGGGATCGTAGAGTGGCTCTTTCACTGTTATTTCTTCCACTTCGGCGGGGAGCTTGGTTTGGGGGTAGTTTAGGTTTGCGACGCTTCGGCGGGCGAGGACGAGTGCGTGGGCGTCGTCGACGGCGAGATAATCCGTTACGCCGGAGATACTAGAATGTAGCTCGCCGCCGCCGAGGTCTTCGGCTGAAACGACTTCACCCGTTGCGGCCTTGACGAGGGGTGGTCCTGCTAGGAAGATCGTGCCTTGGTTCTCGACGATGATGGACTCGTCGCTCATGGCTGGGACGTAGGCGCCACCGGCGGTGCAGGGACCCATAACGACTGAGAGCTGTGGGATGCCGAGGGAGCTCATGCGCGCTTGATTGAAGAAGATTCGACCGAAGTGATCCCGGTCTGGGAAAACGTCTGCTTGGTGTGGGAGATTTGCACCGCCTGAGTCAACAAGGTAGATGCATGGGAGTCTATTCTCTTGTGCGATTGCCTGTGCGCGAAGATGTTTCTTTACCGTGATGGGGTAGTATGTGCCGCCCTTCACGGTGCTGTCGTTTGCGACGATCATGCAGTTCACGCCCTCGACTGTGCCAATGCCGGTGATTATGCCGCCGGCTGGGACGTCGTCGCCCTCGTACATCTCGTGTCCGGCTAGAGGTGATAGTTCCAGGAAGGAAGTGCCTGGGTCGATGAGGGCGGATACGCGATCGCGTGGTAGCATTTTGCCTCGGGCGATGTGCTTCTCACGGGCCTTTTCTGAGCCGCCCTGGGAAATCTTTCCGTGTAGACTGCTCATTTGGTCGAGGAGTGCTTGCATCTGCTGGCTGTTCTCTTGGTACTCGGGTGACGAGGTGTCGATTGCCGTGGGTAACACGGAGAGGGCGGAGGCATGATGAGGGTGTGTGTAGCTGGCGACTGTCCTGGAGTGTGTGCTGGAGACAGTCTTGAGTATGGTGAAGTGTGCTGGTCGGTAGTTTCGTGGACCAACCCGCGAGCCCAAACTCCGGAGGACGAGCGGGGAAAGGGCGCGCATTGCGGGGGATAGGATGAGTGGTGGGTGTTTGGAGGCAAGATGAAAAGTTAGCTGTGGGATATTATAGAGAAAAGGCCCTTTCTCATTGCCGGTGCATGGTCAATGTAAAAGTGAAAGTCAATGAGATATGTAGAAGGTAGCGAGGCCGAGAGGTCAAAAGGTCAAAAGATGCCCCGGCTTCCCCAGATGTGCGGAGGTGCGATGATTGCCGCTTCTACCCGCGGCTGCCATCACCGCCTCGAGGTTGGCTGGAAGAAGGGATTCACTGTAGAGGAATAGACTCGATGGAATTTCTAGTTGAAAAAGGAAATAGAAATAGATAAAATAGAGATTATATACATCTCTTTATTATCAGTAAATTACACCACTCAATCACGAAGGAAATAAGTGTAGCACATAGTTGTTGGCATGTGTGACTAGTATACACCCTTGATTTGTTCCGCGCCGACGACTGCCGCCTTTTCCCCTCCGCATTCACATTCTCTTAAGTAGTCCACCTCCACACTTCTCTTGGACTTTACAATCTACGATACACAGACATTTTCGTGAAACTGCTTCGGTTTCTAAAAATGGCTTCCATTGCCCTTCCTTCCCTCCTGCGCTCCTCCACCCGCTCACTGCGACGATGTGCCATCCCCGCACTCTCCCCAGGTTTCGTGCGGAGCGTGTCAACGAAGCACCCTGTGGGCTTTGAGCCTCCAACAGAAGATGACCTGATTGAATTGAGAGAGCGTGTCCAGGATTTCACCAGTCGGTAATTGAATGCTTATACATACGATCTTAACTGACCCGGTTGCAGGACGCGAGATTCCAGCCGAGGTTGCGGCGCGAACAGATGAGCAGAACAACTTCCCACCCGAGATGTGGAAGAAACTGGGCGAGGCTGGGTACTATTCGACTCCCATGCTACAGGTCATGTTTCCTATACTAATTCATGAATCTATCATTCAGCTTCCTCGGTGTCACTGCGAACGAAGAGTACGGTGGCTTGGGAATGGGCTACCAGGCACACTGCGTTGTGATGGAAGAACTTAGTCGGGCTTCTGGTATGTCTTCCACATTTCACTAAATCTTGAGTCGATATGAGAGAAGCAATCTAACATTTATGTGCACACAGGCAGTATCGGCCTCTCCTATGCCGCCCACTCCCAGCTATGTGTCAACCAACTCTCCCTCAACGGCTCGCCCGAACAAAAAGAACGCTTCCTCCCCGGTCTTCTATCCGGTGAGAAGGTCGGGGCTCTCGCCATGTCCGAACACGGCGCTGGATCCGATGTCGTCAGTATGAAAACTACAGCGAAATCGGTGGACGGAGGCTGGATGTTGAATGGTACTAAGATGTGGATCACAAATGTTAGTCCAGAGCTTTTCTCAGTATAAACCCATCGCTGACATTTTCCTTACTTTATAGGGCCCTGATGCGGATTTTATCGTCGTGTATGCCAAAACTGAGCCAAAAGCAGGGTCAAAGGGCATCACGGCCTTCGTGGTTGAGAAGAACTTCAAGGGCTTTTCATGCGCTCAGAAGCTTGACAAGTTGGGCATGCGCGGGTCCAACACTGGAGAGCTAGTCTTTGAGGACGTCTTTGTTCCACACGCAAATGTTCTGGGAGAGCTGAACCGAGGTGTCAAGGTCTTAATGGAAGGTCTCGATCTGGAACGTCTTGTCCTCAGTGCGGGACCACTAGGGTATGTCGTGTTTGTCCCGAGTCATTGATCTCCAATTGCTAACATTTGCTAGAATCATGCAAGCTGCTCTCGATCTGGTGCTTCCCTATACACACGTTCGAAAACAATTCGGCACCCCCATCGCCCATAACCAGCTGATTCAGGGCAAGCTTGCCGACATGTATACCAAACTGGCAGCCTCTCGGGCCTACACCTACACCACGGCACGAGAGGTCGACAATGGCGCCGTCGCTCCTGGCCAACTAGTCATCCGTACCCAAGATTGTGCCGGCGCAATCCTCTACGCTGCCGAGCGCGCCACAGAATGTACCCTGGACGCTATCCAGCTGATGGGCGGCAACGGCTACATCAATGAGATCTCAGCAGGCCGACTTCTCCGTGATGCCAAACTTTACGAAATCGGTGCCGGTACAAGCGAGATCCGTCGGATGGTCATTGGCCGCGCATTCAACAAGGAGTATGCCCAGTGAAGATCTCCATAAACACAAAGATAGATACTTCCAGAATGTAATATTTTATCGGATATGGCCCAAGCTCCCAAGCGCACCTGGGCAAGAACTTCGCTTGAATGTACATGTAGATTTCATTGTATTCATTATATCTCATATAGAATATATCGTTCCACCAGTAAGGAACATAGCTTACATCTTCAACTAATTGAATTCAAATCACTCAATTACTTCTTCTGCCGTGTGGACCTGCGCGTGGGAGCAGTCGAAGCACCGGATAAACTACCCTCGCCATCAGCCTTCTTGGACGCAACTCGTTTCGACCGAGTAGTCCGGGGCGATTCAGTGCCCGGGTTATCCTTGTTCGCCTCCTCGGCCGGAACCTCCGCCTTGCGCTTACGACCCCGTTTAGCAGGCGTCGATGTTGGCGCGACTGCCGGCACCTCCTTTGGTGATTGCGTGAATTCCGGGGTCGTATTCGATGCCTCCCCTGCATCTCCGGTCTCGCTCATATTGTCCATAGAAACGATATCGGACATCGAGCTGTCGACTTGGTCGTCATTGCCAAGTTTTTCGTCATCACCATCGCAGGGAAATTCGTCATCGGCAAAGGACATTTCAAGGTCGGCCTCCGCGTCCTCCCCCTCCGCGTCCGTCTCCTGATCCCTGGCTTTCCTCTTTCGCAGCCGCGACTTGTCAAGCGCCGGCTGCGCAGACTTGAAAACCTCACGCCAGTCCTTCAAGAGAGCCACCTTATTCCCAATCGGCTCGTAGAAGACCGCGACATCCTGGTAAGGATCGAGACTCGGTGTTTTCCAAATCACGCCCTGGAAGGAGGATATATCCGGGATGGCAGGAAATTTCGATCCGGCGACGCGGTTGGTGGTGGTGGCCTTTGCCTGCGCCTGCGCTCGGCGAGCCTTTTTCTGCGCGGGTGGCGCGGTCGTTTTCACGGTTGGGTCGTCGTCATGGTAATCGTCTGAGTAGTATTCCCAATCACTGAAGTAATCCTCCACCTCGAAGGAAGGGTCTTCGTATAGCGCCGCTTCGTAATATGAGGTTTGGGCGAGTTCGTCCTGTTAAGAAAGGCTTGCGTTAGTCTATGTGTCTCTTTTTCTCCGTCTGTCTGCATTGGTGGCGTAGTGTCGAGCAGAGCAGAGCATGCAGGGTCTATGGTCTATGCGGAGCGTGTCACTCACGACAAGGTCTGGAACTAGGTCCTCAAGGAGATAGTCTTCATCCCATTCATAATACTCGTCGTCGTCGGACATGGTCTGGGTCTGGCGTTGTTTTCGGGAAGAAGCAAAAATGTAAGGGCGATAAAGGGGGACGGAGGCCGGGTTAGAAGGTTGAAACGAGAGTCGGCCGGAGGCTGTGCAATATGCAGCTCATGCAAGAATGGAATGAAAACCCAAGTCCAAGCAAGAAAGGAAAACCTGGAGATGTGACGAACTTGAACGTGACGAATGTGACGAAGATCGCGGCTGATCCTTTTGCGCCTGCTAATGTAAGCCTTGGCATTTTTCTGCGTTCTCCACATTTTTTGTATACTTGTCTGCTGACTTTGTAATTGTATTTATTTACACTGTCTCATGTTTCATATCATTGGTATTTGCATTTGTCGGGTGATCTAATTTGACAACTGCTCATTACAATAGCTTGTTTTTCCCTGGCCCCTTGAGGATTCCAGGTTGTTTTCATTGAAAATTTTCTCTTGTCGCGTGGGTCATCCAGGGTTTCAAGGCCCGCCGTACCAGGGTCTGGCAGATGCTTGGAGAGACTGGCGATATTAGAGGCACCAAATGGCATTGCAACCTTGGAAACTTGAATTAGGTGATATAATTACAATCAATAATCCGTTTTTCTAAGAATGCATTGTCTATACTAGTACTAGATCACAGGTTAAGCTCACGGGCATTACCAGAGAATATCTTTTGAAGCTGCTCCTGGTCAAAAAGCTCCTTCATCTGCTCATCCATAGTCTTATTCAGAATCTCAACAACGGCACCAGGCGTATAAGGATAATCACTGCCATACAGCAAGCGTTCCGGCGTTCCAACACGCAAATACCCATGGATCAAATCTGGAAACGGCATCCCTGCAAGATCAAAGTAGAATCGAGTGGAGAAGATCTCTTTGACCCGCTCGCTGGTCATCTCTTCGCTAGATTTGAGCATACGCGTCGAGAACGCAGAAAATCTTTCAACAAGAGGCGGAAGAGTCGCACCACAATGCGAAACCAGGAATGTCAAGTTCTCGAATCGTGTCACGGTACCCGATAGAAGCAAGTTCACAACTGCCCGCGTTGTGTCGAAGAAGTACTCCATCATCGGCGTCGGATATTGCGCCAGAGGCTTGTCGGCTTCCGGATTATCCAGAGAACAGCATTGAGTAGGATGCATGAAGATAACAGCCTTGTGCTGATTCAACTTTTCAAACACGGGGTCATATCGGGAATCACCCATGTAGTAGCCCTGGGCATTGGTCATGACTGCGAACCCCGATGCCCCGAACTCGAGGGCATGATCGATCTCTTCAAGAGAACCCTCGACATCCGGCAATGGGAGCGATGCGAACCAACCAAATCGGTCAGGGAATTGGCGGCAGATTTGGGAGATCTCGATGTTCGTCTCTCGCGTTACACGCTTGGCTAATGCGAAGTCTCCAACTTTGAGAAGCGTGCCGGGTGAGGTAATGCTCAAAATTGACCGCTTGATTCCGAGCTTATCCATGAGCGCAATATGGCCCTCTGCTGACCATTCCTAGAAAGTCCATCAGCGAGTTTGTCAATTGGACTGTGGAACATAGACGTACCGGAATACATGGCATACCATCAGGCTTGTCCCAACCATATTCCTCACACCATTTCCTCCAGCCTGGAGGAACAATATGGCAATGCGTGTCAATTTTCTCCATGGTAAAAATATTATTTCGAGACTCAGAGTTTGTAAAGTTGAAGTTGGCATCCGCCAAGATCCGCTTGTTGATATAGACCTCTCCATATCCGGCGGGACCTTTTTTGTAGCGGGGCCTTTGCTCCCAAAGAGCTTTCAGGACTGTAATACGCCCGATTGTAAGACGACTTAATACCCCTCATAATGCTATCGAGTTGATCAAATAATATTTGGTGACTTTCTCAGTTGCGGTTATTACTAGTAGGTATGTATGCATTGACAATTCCAGGTTGATTTCAGTACTGTTTAGTTCTGAGAGTATATAGACGTGCCATAGCAGAGGACCTTGACGCAATTCCCATTTTCAATACACAATATTAAAGGGCCTGTCGTCTGAATCTCAATGGAATCAGGATTAAATTGGCATGGGTAGAGTTTTAGGTTTGCCTAGCTCTACTTCCGCCTTCCACAGAAGCTTTGATGCGACACTTCAGTTTGTAGGCGACAAAGCCCAGCAAAGCCACTGATTTTTTGCACAAGCACACACAAATTGGAAAAATAGCAAAATTCATATTTAGCGATGGAATTATGAAGCGAAAAGCGATCCGTTCGCGAATACTCATCGTTACATAGCTTGCGGGGCCTATTTGCCGGATTCGGAAGCACACATTGTGATGCTATTGGCTCCGTACTCAAAAACAGGAGATTCAAAGCAAAAGCGGGGGGTCTTGCATTCGTTAAGATCAGAGCAGTTTCTCATTCTATTGCTGTACAACCGGAATACTTGAACAGATATTAAAGACCCATTGCTTCCTCGCAACGCTTCCCCACCCATCCATCCTTCACTCCACGGGTGCAAAATGTCAGCAACCCTAATATCCAACGCGCGCATTTTCAACGGCGTATCAGTGGTAACTGATTCTGGCCATGTTTTAATTGAATCTGGTCGCATTTCTCGAATCTCGTTGCGAGATCCACTGCCGATACCTGAAGGCTGTACTGTCGTCGATGCGACAGGGTGCACTCTACTCCCTGGTCTTATCGACGCCCATGTGCATGTTTATCAGGATGTCAATCTTTTGGAAACTGCCATCCAATATGGAGTTACTACTGTATTAGATATGCACAACGAACCGGAATGGTTTCAGGACATCAGCAAGGTGACTAAACAACGAAACGATGTGTCCGATGTCAAGTCTTGCGGATTTGGGGCTACAATCAAAGATGGCTGGCCAGCTGCAATTGTCAAGCTGGTTTCGCAAGAGCCGAAGGTTCGTTATTTTTTCCTTGGGAGAAATACTTTATGAGGTCGTCAACTTACAAGTCACAGGTCGAGGAGAGAATTTCCAAGTGGCCCAACCTCACTGACAGGGCATCGATAGAAGGATTTATTGCCCGAAATCGCGCTGCGGGTGCCAGGTATGCAGATTTGAGATCTATAGATATTGGATTATTTTGGGACTGATATCTCTTTACCAGCTTTACTAAACTAATGCAAGAGGATGGCCATACCATGAATCTACCCTTCCCAACCATCCCAGTGCCAACTCCATCCGTGGAGATCCAAAGAGCAATTGTGGATGCGTCGCATGAAAATGGCATGCTGACAATTGCCCACGCGCTGACCAACCATTCGACACTCTCAGTGCTTGAAGCCGGAGTTGATGGATTAGCTCACGCATCAATTGAACCGATCAACGAGCAAGTCGTCAAGGCTTTCAAGAAGAACAATGCCTTCCTCGTTCCTACGCTAGCTGTACACGCTTCTTGCAGTGGTGAAGAGCAGGAATCTCGTGAAAAGTTCTCGGCTAATTTGGAAGGCACTGCTAAAGAGCATCTTCTGGGATGCCTGCATATCACTCGGGAAGAATTCACAATTAAGAATGTGTATGAGCAAGTTTTTACTCTGAAAGAGGCAGGGATAGATATTCTTTGGTAAGACTCAATTTCAAAACATGATGCAATTATTAGCTTGCTGATATAGATCCAGTGGAACGGATACGTCGACAGATCTTCTTGGTACTCGGGCCGGAGCTTCTGTTCATCATGAGTTGTGGATGTATGTCAACCGCTGCCATTTCACGCCTCAGGAAGCACTCATTTCGGCAACATCAAAGACGGCCGACCGGTTTAAATTGGCGGATCGGGGCAAGATCGAAGAGGGCCGCCTAGCAGACCTGCTACTTGTTGGTGGAAACCCGGCAGAGTCTATAGATGCCATTGCCGATATTCAAGGGGTTTGGAGGAATGGAGAGAGACTAGCTAGGAAAATGTAATATTATTTATTCTGTTGTAGCTAGCTACCTCAATATAGCACTATTTTATTTCTTTTACCCACCTACCATACAATAAATCGTTAACTATACTCAGTACTCCAAAAAGGGCAGGCGGTGCTGCTTATGTCACCTCGGCTTCCCCCGCATCTCGCATAGCGTCGGCTCAAGCTGGTCTGGAGAAAGACCGCCCTTTCTCTCACTTTCCCTTCCTCCCCCCATCTACTCCACGAACCATCATGAATTCTCTCTGATTCCTCAACTTCGGTGGATATAAATCAGTGAAGCAGCGCAACACCACTACCATTTCTCGCTGCTTTCACTTCATTTCACGCCCGCCATGACCCTCTCGTCCCTTCTCCGCATTACTCCCCGCCTCGCCCCGACTGCCGCCCGCAGAACAACAAGGGCCGCATACTCTGTCTCAACCACACCGCACAAAACAAACTCACTTGATTCAATTCTAATTGCGAATCGAGGAGAAATTGCACTGTATGTACACCCGACTTGGAGGAAATTCCGAGACGATTTGAGCTAATTGTTCCTAGACGTGTTGGACGCACAGCGGCGGAACATGGCATTCGCGTGACAACTCTCTACACAGACCCTGATAGCCGATCTCAACATGCCTTGAGCTCTCCCTTTGCTTTCAACCTGGGCTCAGTCTCGGCATACTTGGATGGGGATAGAATCATCGAAATTGCCAAAAGGGAAGGCTGTCGCGGGATCCACCCTGGATATGGCTTTGTGAGTGATCATGGCCTTTTTGATCGTTGCATACGTGTCAATGATACAGTGTAGACTAACGTGTTTCTTAGTTGAGCGAGAACTCCACCTTTGCGAAGAAGTGTACCGAGGCTGGCATAGTTTTCATTGGCCCTCCATGGAAGGCTATCGAGGACATGGGTGACAAGAGGTATGTACGACGAGTGACAGCTTTGGAATATTCTTGCTAATTGGTCCCAGTCGGTCGAAGGAGATAATGCTTGCCGCCGGCGTTCCTTGTGTCCCCGGATACCATGGTGGTAACCAAGATCCTCAATTCCTCGAAGCCGAAGCCGATAAGATCAAGTACCCTGTACTCATCAAAGCTATCAAGGGTGGCGGTGGTAAGGGTATGCGGATTGCCAGCTCTAAGGCTGAGTTCCAGGCTCAGCTCGAGTCTGCAAAGTCCGAGTCTCGCAACTCATTCGGTGATGATAATGTGCTCGTGGAAAAGTACATTACGACTCCCCGTCACATCGAGGTCCAGGTATTTGCCGACAAGCATGGTAATTCGGTCGCTCTCGGTGAGAGAGATTGCAGCATTCAGCGGAGACACCAAAAGGTTCTGGAGGAGTCCCCAGCGCCTCACCTCCCAGAGGCGACCCGTCAGGATCTATGGGCAAAGGCTCGCTCTGCCGCTCTAGCTGTTGGCTACGAGGGCGCCGGCACGGTGGAATTCATCTTTGACAATGACAGCGGTGAATTCTATTTCATGGAGATGAACACTCGGTTACAAGTGGAGCACCCTGTGACTGAAATGGTGACTGGCCAGGACCTGGTTCACTGGCAGATTATGGTTGCCGAGGGTGCCCCGCTACCCTTAACACAAGAGCAGGTGGAAGAACACATTGCTCGAAGTGGCCATGCAATCGAAGCTCGCATCTACGCAGAAAATCCTGAACAGGGGTTCATTCCAGACTCTGGACGCCTCATTCATGTCCGTACTCCCGCGACTAGTGAGGATGTCCGGATCGATGCGGGATTCGTCGAAGGTGACGATGTCTCGGCGCATTACGACCCAATGATTTCCAAATTAATTGTCCGTGGTGAAACCCGAGAGGAAGCCCTCCGCAAATTGGCTGCTGCTTTGGAAGAGTACGAGGTGGCCGGCCCAGTCACAAATATTGAGTTCCTGAAAACAATCTGCCGAAGCCCTGATTTCATTGCCGGAGAGGTTGAAACCGGCTACATTGAGAAGCACCGAGAAGAGCTTTTCGCAGAAAAGAAGATCGACGATGAAGTGCTTGCCCAGGCTGCTCTTGCCTGTCTACACCGTGATTCCCAGTCCGCATTACAGACTTCAGGCGGATTGGCAGGAAGTGCGATCGGATTCGCTCCGAGCTATCAAGAGCGAAAGCTGTCCTTCACTCTATCCAAAGGTCCCAATACAGAAGGACCTAGCTTTAGTGTAAGCGTGAAACAAACGGCCGACCAAACCTTTGACATTAAAGTGGGCGACAGAGTTTTTGAGCAAGTTGAGAGTCACATGAACCCAGCCTCTCATATTGTCACCTCATTCTTCCCTCATACTCGCCTGGACACGACCGTCGTTCGAGATGAGGATACTATCATCGCGTTTCAGAAAGGAATGCAATATCGACTCACAGTTCCCCGGGCAAAATGGATGGAGAAGGCTCTGGGCATGAAGGATGTTGCCAACAGTGTTCTAGCACCGATGCCATGCAAGATTCTACGCGTGGATGTGCAGGCTGGCGACATCGTTGAGAAGGACCAGCCATTAGTGGTGATTGAAAGTATGAAGATGGAGACTGTCATCCGCAGCCCGCAACAAGGAAAAATTGCGCGTGTCGTCCACAAGCAAGGCGTAAGTTGTTTACCTCTCCCCCACATCTCCCCTATTTCAGACCCCTCCCAATTGGGGATATCTCGTGACCCCCTGGTTGGTTTCTAAATTTGATCTGTTCACTTTACGGCTGGCTGGTATTGGTTCTGTATCGAACAGACCAACTGGCACAGAGTGCTCATTTCTCGTCGAGCCCGTCCCTCCACCCCCCCCAACAGAGATCGTTTTGGTATACACCAAGCATGGGAAAATGAGCTAACTTGAATCTACAGGACCAATGTAAGAGCGGAACGCCCCTGGTTGAGTTCGCTGAGGCGGAAGAGCAATGATCAAGCCACCGGCATATCAGCCTCCTCTTTTTTGTTTGTTTTGCACGTTCAGGAGTTTCGGCATACTGCAATTGAAATAGTTATTACAATAAATTCAAATTTACTCTAGACGATTAAGTTCCGGAGGGGCTTTTTTCAGAGCGGATAGAAGATTTGCTAACTCAAAGTACATTCGGTCATAATAAAGTAGTCTTCGCCAATACCAGCAGTTATCGTCTCATACACTTAAGTCACGGTTGCCACCTCCGCATTTCCTACTACTAGACTCTTTGTGTGACCGAGCGTCAGTGGCAAAAACAGCCGACCAGGGAAAGAATGAGGCAAATGGGTTTACATCAAATCGAGCATTTCAATAAGTTCTTGTGAGAAGAGACTTGATAGCTCTAACACAAGATATTTCTGTAGATGTAGAAATTGTTGCTAAGCTCGACGAAACACTACAATCTCCGTATACAAACTACCCGACGGTTCTCGTAAACTTTAATGACATGGCGATATGATTGATCTTCCAGCTAACCTCAGCGGGGAACTTGCCCCAGCTTCCCCAGACTGCTTGCCGTTGGTCTGCCCTTTTGCCCCAAACCTGTAACTTAATTGCCTCTCCCTCAAAATCCGACAATCAGACGCCGGTGGCTTGCACAATGTCAGCCCCTGTGTTCCAGAAGCTATCTTTCATTGGCGAATAATTAATGAGATAGGAAGTTTGGCGTCCAAGACAAGTCTTCCCATATTTTGTTTTCTCCAAACTTCTGCTCCTTCCCTCAAAATCCCCCTGCTATCAGACTTACTAGCCTCCCAGCGAGCTGTTGGCTTTCTAGAGCCATTTCACTAATCATGTTTCATCGAATGGTCCCCAGAGCAACTCTAAGCACTTTCACCCACCCAGCGGCTCTCACAGCCACAGCGAGACTAGCACTGAGGAGCTCCAACTTTTTCCGCCCATTAACCTGCACCGCAAACCGTGCCAACCAAAACGATGACCCTTCAAAGGACCCGATCTTATCGGCCACAAACAAAGCCCCCAGCGGTGCTTCTGGCGATCATGAAGGCCAATTCGCCCGAACCGACGAGAGTGTGCAGATCGAGTATCCGCCTGACAGTGAAATGCCCGCTCAACCAGTCGTCCAGGGCCGTGGCGGGATGCATTTCAAGCGCACTCTGGCGTCTTTCTCGCTCGAAAACAGAGTCTCTATGGTGACTGGCGGTGCACGTGGACTAGGATTGGTCATGGCGCAGGGACTGGTTGCTTCGGGTTCGGATTTGGCTATTGTTGATTTGAACAGTGGGTCTTCTCAAGCTTTCTACATGAAGTCGATGTCCTTGGAAGCTCGACTGCCAATACTAATACTTGCATTTAAGAGGCCGAAGCAGAAGAACAAGCGCAAAAGCTCATCGATCAATTCCACAAAGAGAACCCCGGTCTTGATCAGTACGCTCCCAATGTCCCTCCTTTCCCTAATAAGCAAGTGGTTAATCAATTCCCTCTCTCGACGAACTCAGACTACCAAACGTCACAGCTCATTACGCCGACGTATCCAACCCGGACTCGGTAAACACAGCCCTCGCCGAAGTCCTCGCGAAACACAACCAAATCGACAACCTCGTCACATCCGCCGGATTCACGGAGAACTTTGAAGCGATAAACTACCCTTTTGACCGCATGCAAAAGCTCTGGGGCGTCAATGTCGACGGGACATACCTTTTCGCCACAGGCGTGGCCAAGCATCTGATGGAGCGCAACGCACCCGGAAGCATCGTCATGATCGGATCCATGTCTGGGTCAATCGTCAATGTCCCTCAGCCCCAGGCGCCGTATAATGCGGCGAAGGCGGCTGTGAGGCATCTTGCTGCTTCGTTGGCGGTTGAGTGGGCGGGTCATGATATTCGGGTGAACTGCATTTCGCCTGGTTATATGCTGACTGCTTTGTGAGTGTTCTTTATCTCTTGCGACTCACGGCTGGGTTCGCCATGACAAGCCCTTTCCTTATGGTCAGCTTCCTCTAACCAATACTAACTGCCGAATCGCCACGCAGAACACGGAAGATCCTCGACGAAAATCCCCAACTTCGCGATAAATGGACTTCTTTAATCCCTGTCGGCAAAATGGGGACCCCGGAAGATTTGATGGGGGCTGTCACCTTTCTTCTGAGTGATGCCTCGAAATACATCACCGGCGCCGATCTCCGCGTGGAGGCGGATATACCTTGACTTGATCCCTTGGAATCCCACAGCCGGGTACTCTTCATGGCATGCTTCCTTGTACTCCTATTTTATTATATAGCTCGTTCGCTTTTAGCGCGGAATCGCATTCATTATGTCGATTTTCCACATTCCGGTCTACAAAAACGATTAGTAGTCGTAACCCTTGGAAATTTCATTACCCTAGTACCGATAATAGCAATCTTGGAAGCAATTTTCTTTTGCAAAGCTCAAAGGATTGGAATACTTTTTCGCGATCATTCTTCAAGTTCGCGACCCTCCAAGAGTTCATGCGATACAAACAAATCGGAAATCTGTATTCATGTGGTGCAATTAAACTAGCAGCATTGAGCCCCCCTCCCTGAGCAAGCATTGCTAAGCTAACCTTTAATGAGATTTACGATTTGTATTTACAGCAGGTAATATATGAATAGGGATAGGAATAAGAATAGGAATAAGAATAACTTGAAATTTGAGGATGGGAATACAGATGAATGCCCCGGACTACCCTCCGGGGCCAGGGTGCGAATAAAAATAAGAAAGATAACAATAAACGGGTAGAAATAAACATGTCCCGGGTGAGGGCACCCCCCGGGGCCAGGGTGTGAAAAAGAATGACAAAGATAACAATAAACTGGTAGTAATAGACATGCTCGGGTCAGTCACCCGGGGCTAGGGTGGGTGCAGGCGAGATGTGTAAGGAAGTTCAGCGAAAATAGGGCGAATTCACTCATTGAACAATGCGGGGACATTATGTCGATAGATAGAGATCGCCGATACCTTGGACCGCAGACATGGATATGGCTGGGTATTTGTCGTATCATGTCGCAGGTGCAGGAGGACAATAACAGCTGGATGTCGCAAATGACAGTGAACACCGGGGAGGTTGAGGATGATGAGCTGAACCCTTCGAACGCTGTTTGCAACCCCAGTATCAAGATTTCCACATCCATTTAAGCGTCATGGAGTGTTGCTATGCAAGGCTTGAAATCGAAGGCTCCATAGTCGATCCCTGGTACTTCCTGCTGCAGGCCTATTAGTGTCTCTTGAAGCCCATTGTTATGAGAGGGAGGTATGCATGTCTCATGTCAAAATTCAAGATATTTGTTCCACTTACCTGAAGGATGCAGAATCATGCGAGGCTTTTGGGAGAAGGCCAAAAGGTTGGACACTTCCTCAAGCCCTTCCTGGAGAAGAGCTTGGAAATTTTCAGCCTGAAGAGAGAAGAGAGAAGAGAGGGCGAGTGGGCGAGTGGGGTGTTTAAGAAAAGTGACCAGTGAATCGCACCTTCCCAGTTAGGGTTCTCCCTAGTGCCTAGAGACCCCGCACCCTAGTATAACTTCACATTTGCACAGTTAGCCTTCGGAATTTCTTGAGCCTAAAATCACTAACTAAATATATGTAGTATTTCTACAGACTAAGAGAGAGATTGACAGAACACCAATTTTGTGGTAGTATTATAGCTGGCAGGTCAAGCATATATGGAAGACGTGGTCAAAGGATCATCCACGAACGTCTTCCTGCCCAAGTGGCAAATACCAAATAGCAAATAATCCAAACATTGCACTCCAAGGTTCTCCTGTATTTTACCTAGACGCATGATAAATTCTATGATTGCCATTTCGGCTTCATTGAGGGGGAATCGAACATGAACCAACATTCACTCGGTATGTCAAACCGTTAAAGACAGTATCCAACTTCACTCTAAAACCTCTGGGGATTTGTGCTTTTATTGTACGTTCAGTTTTGTCTTATCATGGATGCAATGGCATCTATTATACCGATCCTTCCTATTCCGACCTTGTAACGCTAGTATCTACCCTAATTACGACCAGAACAGACCGTTCTCGTTTTCAACTTGAACACTCAGGTGTATGACTGGTTGAAAATATTGTTCACGATCAATCTTTGCGACCACGATTGCTGCAATACAAAGCAAATCAGAAACCAGTCTTCAGATGGTGCGAATTGACCAGCAGGGACCGGCCCTCCTAAGCAAACATTGTTAAGCTAGAATATTTACCATTCGTATTTACAGCAACTAACCTAGTATGCGTGGTGGTAGAAATAATAATATTCTTGAGGATAGTAATGACAGGACCATAAGGATAGACAGGAATAATAATAGACAGGAATAAGAATAGACAGGAATAGGAATTTACAGGGAAATATAAGACATGCCCCGGGTGATAGAGATAAGAACATGAATGCAGGTAAAAAAGGAACGGAAATGAACGTGGGCCCCCCGTTCAGAGCATGCAGCAGAGTGGAAAGTTTCGAGGCCGAGAAACCGAGGTAATCAGGACAGCCAGATTGTTCTGGCAGTTTTATTCCAGAAAGCGACGCTTGACGAGGGGATGCCGGAGCTGGATTTCGAAAGCTTCAGTGGCATATACAATGTCACCAGAATTCCGTTTGGCCTGCTCAAAATTGAGTTAGTCATGAACCCAATTTCCATTAAGGAGCCATGCACAGTGTCACGTCAACATCCAGGATGTTCAGAAGATGCACAATTTGAAATCAACTGAGACCAGAGAATCATCCACTCTCGGCATTGGAGAAGCTCAACTTGACGGGTCTGACATGCCGGCGAAAATGTTCAGTCTTGGAAGATTTGGGTGAAATCCCACTGCTCATATACCCCCGGGGAATGCGAGCAATGGGAGATGAAGAAGGAGAGGGGAGAGAAGAGAAGAGTGGGCGATTGCAGGTGAAGCTTTTAAGAAAAGCGACCAGTAAATCGCACCTTCCATGTTAGGATTCCTTCCTGGTGCCTAGAGATATGTGGAATGGAGAAGAGCCTTGATACAGAAAAGTGGTGATTGGATGGAGGAGAGAGTGTGTGAAGTTATGGCAAGGAAGGGCACTAGTTAGTTAACGTAATTCCCAAGCGGGCGGTGAACCCAAGCCAGTGGTGAACCTCACCAAAAGCTATTTTTTTAAACTAAATTTAGACAACCAAAACACCATGATATTGAAAAAACTATCTACTTGGGCACTAGGTAATTGAATGGCCTATTCTCTGACAGCCGCTATACCTTCCCTGCCGCCGTCTGGTTGGTGGAGGTGGCAGAACAGGTGGTTCAACAGGCCCTGGCGGAGGTTGCTCAATACGTTTAATTGGCTCAGTTAGCTGCTTAATAAGCTGTGAGGCCTCTTCAACGGTGAACCCTCCTTCGTGTGGTATTTGCTGATTTGATCTTGTACGCTTTTGTCGTTTCTTCTCATTTGTAGCGCGTAGATTAGCGTTTTCCTTCGCTAGAAGTGCAGCGTTATGCATTGAGAGATAGCAGCCTTTGATAACTTGATCAAGCATGATTTTAGATAGAGTTGGAGGGCTTTTTAACCGTTCCTTAAGCAAGGCCTTGAGTGAGGAAGCTTGCTTTTGAAGCTAGAGAACTGTTTTTAGTGTTTTTAGTGAAAAAAGACTTGATCTGCTGCTTGGTCGGTTCTCTGGGGGTATATGTGATCATAGTGATATATTAAGATATGAGAGCATACGATCTGCGTTGATTGGTACTAGACCTGCAGCAGCAAAACTATTTTGAATAGTTTCTGATTGAAAAGCCTCTGTATGTGCTTGAGGATAGGCTGCTAGAAAATCTAGCTTATTGATATGGTTGTATCCCGTACGTGCTTGATTCTCAACTAAACGTCTATATAAGCGTTTAAGAACAGCAAAATATCTAATATCAAGTGGCTAAAGAAGGTGGGAAGAATGTGCTGGCATACAAAGTGGTATGATAAAGTTTTTAGTACAAATCCGATCAAATTGAGGTGTAAGGTGGCTATTATGGCCATCGAGAATAAGAAGACGAAATTTTCCTTTTGTACGTATAGTTGTAGCCGGAATAAAAAGCTTTTTAAGCTATCGTAAGCCGATCTTATTTATAGTCTAGCTATTTTAAGAGACCTCAAATCGCTAGTCTTTTGGAAGGTTATCAAACCAGCTTTCGATGTAGACTTTGCCTTTGAATATAATGCATAGAGGTAGTATAAAACCACTTACACTAATTGTTTTAATTGTTGTCACCTATTTACGATTTCCAGGTTGTAAAAGTGCTCGCCGACCATAGTATTCAGTACGTATTACTACTTTAGCAGTAGCAATAAGACCCATTGCAAAGCCAGTCTCATCAAAATTATAGATATCCTCTGGTTAGATACCATTCTCGTTAATCATACGTTGAACAGTATTAAACCACTCACGTAAGGACTTTGGATCCTTATTTTGAGCACGTTGATAATCATAGCGTCTTGAAAATCGTATACAAAGCTTATTATGGCAATTTATAAAGTTTGATGCCCAATTTTTTCCAACAGTAAGTAAGGGAGTAGATCTACGCTCTGTAAGCAGAATATTAGCTATTTCTCGTACAGTAGCAGGCCTAGGTGCTGCTCTACGTGAATCTATAGAGAGTATCTATTGAACAAGTGATTCCTCTTCTGTTTGGGTTAATTTTTGACTATTTGTACGTATTGTTGCACGAGAGGCAGTGCCATTAACGCGTCGGCTTAGTGTAGTGTAGGATACACTATATAGCTTTGCAGCGGCATGTAGGGTACGAATTTGGCCTTTTTGAAAGCTATTGATAGCTAGAGAGATCCTTCCCTCGCTATCAGGCTTGTTTGAAGGTTTTGCAGTACGTTTTGGTGGCATGGTGGATGTTTGAAGATGGTGTGTACGCGAGGATTACGCGTTTTTGGTGAGGTTCACCACTGGCTTGGGTTCACCGCCCGCTTGGGAATTACGTTAGTTAGCAACCTGTGGATGCCTGAGGCTGCCCAAGGCACCACACCTCAACAACTCCACGTCCTAGCTGCCTAATGATGCAGATTACTGATATTTCCATCTTCCTGGTCAATGGTGAATACCTAAAATTACTATCGCATGCTCTCGTATTCTACCTGGCCATGTATGGTAGGGTGAACCCGACATCTTCACCCCCTCAAGCCCCACCCCATCTCAGTATTTATACCGGAAACTAAGATTCTCCCGGTCTGTCAAATCGTCAAAAGCATTATCCAAGTTCGCTTCCGAAGCTCTCCAATCCTCTTCCTAAAGATCCAGATTGTTACTCAATGCTATACTTCAAGTTGACTTCTCCGAGGCTGGGTGGACTTACCTGTAATAGATCCCGCTTGTTATTCTCCCGTATGAGGTGCCAGCGGAGAACCCCAAGAAGAATAACGATGCAAGCGTAACATCCCATATGAACCGAAAAGCACGTGAAGTATCTCGGGGCATCCTTGGATTGAAATACCTGGGGTCCGATCATATTGCCCACCGCCCAAGCGAGGAATAATGATGCCGTGCTGACTGATTTCTTCGTCTGGCCAGCTACATTTCGAGAAAGTAGAGACATGAGAAGGACTGTGGTGCCCCAGAATGACAGTGTACACCAGTAGGCGATCAACAGGCCGACTTTGGTGGAATTAGAAATAGGTACGGCTGTTGTGTATTAGCTTTGATTGGAGGAAATGCCCACAGTATACACGCTTACCCATTAGAACGGCCGTTCCCGCAATATTTGGTATCAAGAAAGCCTTTATTTCAGTCTATTAGCCCGACTCTTGGCGTTCAATTCCAGGCCTTGTCTCACAAATTGGAACAGAATCGTTTGATTGTAATGGCGAGATAACCATGCTGCACTCAGAAGTACGACACACTGAACGGCGCCGTTGACCATAGAAAGTAGCTCGGTATCGAGCTCACTGAACCCAAAATTCTTAATAAGGATCGTGGAGAAAGATCCTAAGCCACCAGTCGGGATTTGAATACTGGGAGGTCTTATTATTGCCCGCACGGTGGAAAAAGAAAGCATCACGGCACAGACTCACATGATTTGAATCAAGATGTAAAGCCAAATCTGAGGATCTCTGATAGCCTCCTGGACATGTTCCTTTTTGAACTTGCGGTTTTGAATTCCAGTTTGATTAGCACGAACTCGCTCGATAATGAGAATTCTATCTGTTTCCGAATAGCATGTCGCTCGCATGGGACTGTCTGGCATCCACCAAAAGACGAAGACGGACCAGAGGCAGGTGACGGAACCAAGCAAGACAAAAAGTAATTGCCAGGACTTGAGAACGGATGAGTGGACGTGGCTCATTCCGTAGGCGAAGAGACCGCCAACGATCCCTTGAACGCCGTTCTAAAGTGGTTTTAAAACTTAGCTTTCCTTTAGGAAAAAGTAGGTATTCAAACTCACCATTCCCTAGATACAGTTAGCACGGTCTCATATCGAAATGTAAAAGGATTAGTTCACTGATACTTACATACCAGTAGGCCACAATGTGAGCCTGTTCCTCACGTTTATACCACATAGACGAGAGAAGCAAAAATGTTGGCTGCGATACAGCTTCGAAAATTCCAAGCAGAACCCTCAATGCACAAAGTATAGCAAAGTTGAATCCGAAGACATTCATAGTCAGAGTCAATCCCCAGAGAAAAATGTTGGCCGCAAGGTATTTTCCGATCGGAAGTTTTTGCACGAGGAGATTAGTCGGGTATTCAGCGAAGAGAATTCCAAAATAGATGACCGTATGAAGCCAGGAATACTGATGAAGTTAGAGCACTGCAGTCCCTCAAAAATGAAGGTAAAGAACTCACATCTTGCCCGACAAGGTGGGCATCTTCCTGAATACCCATAATAGCAGCGAAACTGATCGCGTTTTTGTCCAGAGATTATTAGGAAATATGTCCCAACCATAACGATCAATACGCGCTTGTCAATCAATCTTCGAAGGCGCTTGCTAGTCGCCTCGTCCACTTCGACCGAACCCGCGGCGACAACATACCTACGCAGCTCTTCATCGACCGCGGCGTGCTTGTCTGGAAGGACATCAGGATCTGGAGACGCAATGCGTTCCAGGTGTTGCTCAGTTGGCTTTGTTCCACTCATCCTGTATGCGTAGGAAGGCAAAGTGCATGCCAGCTAGATCCACATACCCCACACCGGCACCGGCAATTGCATCTTATACCCTTCTTCCCCACACTATCAGCATTGAAAGATTTGCGGGGTGGAGATAAAACACTGGTCACAAAAACCTACCTCGAAGAATTTCCAGTCTTCTGAGCCAAACATAGGGTTTCCGGTAGCACCACAAAAGACTCTTTCTCTGTTGAAGTTATCCGAACAAATGCTTCGCGTAGACGGCCTTTCGGATGTCTCCGACTTCTACTTCATTGGGATATCGCATCGCTGGGCCAAGCTTCGGATAAGCAGCATCTGATTATTGAGCGCTCGGACGATCGTGTTTTTCGTGAAATAACTGGTGGAAAATCATGGTGGCTGGAACCCTGCACGCCACAGATGTCGATCAGAATCGGAAACCGGGGTAGCTAATTGAGGGGTTCTTTGCGGAAGACTAGGACCATCGGAAATCTTCTGGTCGCTTGGGTTTTGATTGATGGAAGTAACCCTATCCCTCAGCACTTGGTGCCGATCGCTTTTCCGAGGGAGCCATTCAAATACAGCAATATGGCAACAATCAACTACAGCTGAAGTTGTGATATTTCAACTATAGCTGGTTTCGTGCAAACATGGCAGCAGTCGACGACGTATTGTCCGTATTCCTCGCCAAGGATGGTGTGGTGAATACCCCGTTCGAAGTGAAAACGCCACTTGCCGAGATGAGCTTATCGGATACCAAGTCCTTGGCGCTCAAGCTTGTCGACAGCTTGGTTCACTTGAAAGACGACTCGGGGGAGTTCCGTGTGCCAATACCAACTGGAGGTTTCAAGGTTGATTCCAAGTCATGGAATAATTGGGAGTGGACACAAGGAGTTGGTTTGTACGGAATGTGGATGCTCTTCGAGACTACCGGAGATGAGACAGTCCTTAACCACATTCAACAATGGTTCGACAAACAATTCGCAAAGGGCACGCCCACTAAAAATGTAAACAGTATGGCGCCTATGCTCACGTTGGCCTATCTTTATGAGCGAACGGGAAGAATCGAGTACCGAGCATACCTTGAATCTTGGGCTGAATTCATCATGGATGGGATTCCTCGAACAGAGGGTAAGTGGCAATCGCACGATGAAAGAGATATTTCGTTTCTAAAATCCAGCGCAGAGGGTGGTATTCAGCACATAACCTTCCGACAAGTCAACGAAGGCCAACTTTGGGACGACACTCTCATGATGAGCGTTCTCCCACTTGCCAAAATCGGTGTTTTGCTCAACCGCCCATCCTATATCGAGGAGGCCAAGCGGCAGTTCTTGCTGCATATCAAGTATTTAACAGACACACGAACTGGCCTGTGGTATCATGGCTGGACATTCCTGGAAAGGCATAACTTCGCCGAAGCACTTTGGGGAAGAGGAAACTCATGGGTCACAATCGCGATCCCCGAATTTCTCTCTCTTCTTCAACTACCCCCCGGCGACCATATCAGGGAGTTTCTTGTGTCTGCCCTGGATCAGCAAGTGGTTGCTTTGAAGAAATATCAAAATTCGAATGGGCTCTGGCATACACTCATTGATGATTCAAGCTCCTACCTGGAAGTATCCGCTTCAGCGGGATTTGCTTTTGGCATTCTGAAGGCGGCTCGGATGAGGTATATCTCGAAGGAGTATCAAAGTATTGGTCTGAAGGCTCTTGAAGCGGTTATAAATAATGTCAATGAGAAAGGTATTGTTCAGAATGTAAGTTTTGGAACACCAATGGGGCCAAGCAAGGAATTCTACAAGGCGATCAAGCTCACGGCCATGCCTTATGGCCAGGCTATGACACTACTGTGTATTGTGGAGAGAATGAGAGCATTTTTGTAACTAGAATCAAGATATAATGTCGTTAGAAATTTTATAAAAATCTCGGTTCTATCAGATGTTTCTCAAGATATTATTGTGCGGTTGCTCACGAAACTGAGGGCAAGTCTTCAAAATCTAAAATCTATCCATTGCAGGCCAATGCCAACTATCTCAACACTTGGGCACTTCGACAACAATGTGGCCAATGCCTCTGGAAACACAGGAAAGCATTTCGGATTTTTGTTCTGTTTTAGTGAGGGCAGATCCTCGATGCTGTACCTCTCCGCATCTGACCGGAATTCGACAAGTTCCACAGTTTCCCGTTTCGCAGGAGCTTCCTATTTCGAAGCCAGCATCTCTCATGGCGTCTAACAGCGTTTGCTCAGATTCAACCTGCAGCTCAACTTTCCTCTCGTCGGAGATAACTTCCACGGTGAACGGGTCTCCTGATGTATCAGCTTGGAAGACCTCATAGTGTAGCTCGTCGGAAGGCATTTTGATAGCAGAGGCAGTTTGTATTCCCGCATCTATCATCCGCTGCGGTCCACATATATAGATGTGGCTGTTCCAAGTTCGGTTCATGAATATATCAAACATGTCCAAGCGCTGCCACTGAGACTTGTCGTAGATGGTAACGTTGGGACCGAGCTCCGATAGCAGGGGCCTAAATGCGACTTCATCGGATTTCCGGACCGCATAGTGAAGGTGAAAGGATTGGTTGGTATCGATAAGTCGCTTCATCATGGCCAGAAATGCGGTAATACCAATGCCTCCGACGATGAAAATGTGGTGTGAAGCCATATTGTGTATAGACATGCTCTGTGATACCGCTCCTAACAACACAATATCTCCGGGATTGAGACTTTCATGGATATAACTTGACCCGCCGCGGCTAGTGTCGTCCAGAGCCACTCCGAGTACAAGGGAATTTGTGTTGCCGCTGACTATGGAGTATGCCCGCTTCAACCCGTTGGGTAGTTTGATTACGGCATGACTGCCAGCAGCAATGTCGCTAGGCTTTTCGGTTTTCAGGACAGCTTCAAGATCAAGACGAACAATCCGCGGAGTCTCTGGAGATTTGAGCTTAATCTTGAATTCCTTCCACGTTTGCTTTGTGGCAATTTCTTTTTCTTGAATCTTTTGCCACCTCGCTTCGAAAACATCTTTGCACTCAGCGCCCATTTCTTCAACTTCCATGAGCTCCTGCGTTACCGAAACATCCGTCTTATCTCGGTGGACATAATGGTGCAACCGAGCAATTGACCACCTAGGATGACTCCTCTGAATAACTCGGATTTCCATCTCTTCTTCAATCCAGCCTTCTTGCTTCACGCGATAATACCATCCAGTCTTCGCCTCCTGGTGAGTTTGAGGAGCAAAGTTCTTGATTCCAAACCTTTGATTCAGCTTGAAGCAGGGTTGTCGCGGCAAACTAACCTCCAAAAGGCAACCATTGCTACCACCGGTAAGAAGAGAACCTGGGGACCAATTCTTACTAGGTCGCCGATACAGATGTTGTCCTCGTCTAATCCACCAGCAACAAGATTTTCGCCGAATCCTCCGGGCACAAATTTCGCGCGGATTTCGGGTGAGGGAAACAATTTACCCCAGAAAGCGTAGTGACCGACGCAATATTGATGGATGGCCTTGTCGATTCCCCCATGGAAAGTAAGATCGTGCTCGTCTTCTGACAAGCCGATGGATGAGACATATAATTTCCCAGTGCGAGATTGCTTGTCGATGCCGGAAAGAACAGAGCCGAATGGGAGGAGTTTTGAGGTTCGGATTTGTTCGAGAGTCGTGGGTGGCGGAACATCAATTGGAGATAGGTCAATACTCGTACTGGGCATCATCTTGGATATCATGATGCCAGTTTGAAGAGCGACCCCTCAGGTGGCGGAAATATGACTCGTTCTCTGCTGAAACTCTTCAATTTTCGTTCATTCCGATGATGGAGGTGGGAAGCAAACCTGGTCTATACTGATGGAGTTCGTATGAAATTTTACGTCTGTGCAGCCAATAATCTACACTACTAATCAGAAATCGTAAAGAGTATTGGAATGCTTGACGATGATTCATCGGGTGCTCATCCGAGGATTCCACGACACTTCCATTGCGCGCCTCAGCACTAACTAGCCTTGGAATTAGCGCCACACACCGCGTTTGGAATAGCGCAGGTCCCACATTTTGAAACTCAGCATTTTACTTACTTGTGAGGATTATCTATCAATATTATCCATGGATGTTATGTATAGTAGTAGAGCTCTTCAGCGCCTTATGGATCAAAGTGTTGCACCGTGTGCGGTATCGGATTTTCTTGATTTTTGGACCCGGCCTAGTCACTGTACTCTGTAGTAGTGAATATATATTATCTTACGATGTGCTAGTAGTAGTACTAGAAAATATTACACTGGTGTACAGCTTTCATTAACCAATTCAACTTAAAGGTTGAATTCAACACAGCTTGGGTCTAGATACTACTAGTACTAGTACTAGTTATGCATTCGAGAAGCTCACCCTCCGAGTTCGCAACTTGAAATCACCTTTGAACTTCAGCCGCTCAACTCCGGCGAGCTCGTCAACTCCGGACCCACAGCTACGCCCCCGCGAGTTATTTAAACACAACATAAACTCGAGGGTTTCAAGCTTACTTCAAGTTCATAACTGACATACTCCGAACATCCAAAATGTCAAAAGTATACACCACAGACCATTCCGCCTCAGTTATCCAAACACACGGGTGGCGCACGCTTTCCAACTCCGCAGCCTATGTGCTTCCCTACATCCGGCCCGACCTACAAATCCTCGACGTCGGCTGTGGCCCAGGAAGCATCACAATTGATTTCGCCAAGCACGTACCCCACGGGCACGTAACAGGCATTGAATATGTTCCCGAGCCACTAGATGGGGCTCGAAAGCTCGCTGCTTCGGAAAATATCACCAATGTCAGGTACCAAGTTGGCGATATCCATGCTATCCCATTCCCGGATAATAGCTTCGACATTGTCCACGCACATCAAGTTCTACAGCACATAGCCGACCCCGTTAGAGCTCTCCAGGAAATGCGTCGAGTGGTTAAGCAAGGAGGCATTGTCGCGGTACGCGAGTCTGCGTCGCAAATCTGGTACCCCGAATCAGAGGGTATTTTTGCGTGGCAAGAGCTCGGAGAGAAAATGGGACGCGCGAAGGGAGGCAATCCATATCCCGGAAGGTATATACATGTTTGGGCGCATGAAGCAGGATTTCCACGGGAAAATATCAAGAAATCTGCAGGTTCGTGGTGCTTTAGCAGCCAGGAAGAACGTGAATATTGGGGCGGTTCCATGAGAGAACGGACAAAATCGTCTGGATTTGCGACAACAGCTATCAAGGAAGGATACTCGAGTAGTGAAGAGCTCGACAAGATCGCTAAAGGGTGGAATGACTTTGTAGAAGATGACGATGCATGGTTCGGATTGTTGCATGGGGAAATAGTTTGTCGCAAATAAACCAGTTCCGAGGTTGTTGGAAAGTGGTCTTCGATCTCTCAATCATCATGAATAATAATAGCTCTACTTGAACATTCAACATTTTAGTTTTCATCGAGGCAGGATAGAGCCTACCTTGAGGCATTTCACTACGGTCGCTTTTCAAGAAATGAATCTCTGAATTATATCAGAGAATTCTGAATTATTGCTGAATTTTCTAGTAATATATGCTTCTTATGTTGGTCTATTTGATTCCGAAACGGTAACCTATCAATATCTGAGACGGGAACCTACCAATATCTGAGATGGGAACCTACTGATATCCGAGCGCTCCGCAACTTTGTGAAGCATTTTTTGCGATATTTACTCAAAGATCGGGGTAATGGTATAGGGGTATTACGTTCGCTTCGCATGTGAAAGGTCCGGGGTTCAATTCCCCGTTACTCCATCAGTTTTTGTTCGTGAATCAAAATGAAGTTCTTCTGGGCGCTTGATGTGGGGATCTTGAAGCTGAGGTCCGAGCCACGGAACGCTACCCGGATTGGGTTAGCCGCGGGTAAAGTGGGGCCATACCATATATCCGGCTTACCGCCCGTCTCACCGCCCAAACTCTACCTCCACCACCACTCACCGCATCAACACCGCTACGACATGTATACCCCTGGATTTTGAATTTTGGGGTTTGGTTTTCCGGCTTTTTTGGCCTCTTCCAGGGGCAAACGGATGGAGCGCATATCCCATGTCAAGTATGATACAAGAATTAAGTGAATAATCTAAGTTTCGTCCATGACATTGTAAATGATTTCTTACACTGCCTGGCCTGAAATCAGGAGTCAGAACTACTCATACTTATCATTCTGTTGGCCCCAACCTCGTCTTCATCAAACGGGCCATGATTCAAAAACAAATACCCCTCAAAAACACAGGACTTAACTGCAGCTTTTGAATTTTTGTTGGTCCTCTGAGGGCTGTGGCAACCTCCGTTCGCATTTTGACCCCCACAGCCCCCCGAGCCCTGTGAACATCGCCAGTAGCATCTTGGACACATGTTGGCGTCTCCGGCGGGATATCATACCGCAGCCATCTATCCCTTTTAGTTTATTTATTTTCGTAGGCATCCGCCGGTTACAAGTTATTAGTTTTCAAACTAGCTTGAGCAAAAATACATGTAGCGCAGAAATGCACGGCAAAAAATGGACGAATGGCGATTCGAACGCCAGACTTTTCGCATGCAAAGCGAACACTCTACCAACTGAGTTATACGCCCGTTGAGTATCTTCAGATAGGAGCAGTGTACTCCAGATCCCGCTATTGTATATCGAGACAGCCGACAGAGTAGGTTTGGATTATCTGAATCTAGCAAGAAACAAATGATAGGCACGCCAGGAGGAAATTGGAGTCACTTGAAAAGAATCCGGCTATTTGGATCGAAAGTCGATGGCAAAAGGATCTTGTAGAACGACAGGCCTCGCTTGAGCTAGAGAACTCGATTCAGACAGGTTGCATACCAGGCCGTAAGTCTACTCAATCTACGAACAATCATAGTTTTAGTTGTAAGATAGTTGTACTGACTATAATCCTATAATATAGGGCTTGGTAGATGATAATGTATGTATACTATAATCAAAACATGTGGTAACTATTTGTTGATGGTATTTAGCTCCGCCCTGTGCGCAACGACCGCTCGCACAGTCAACCTGGGGGGGAGAAGAAGGGAAAGAAGAAGGGAAAGAAGAAGGACGAGTAAGTTAATATTGCATTTCTATCCTTTAAAACATGGACGCTTGATGCTAACTAACCAATTATGCGCACAGTTCTGAGAAGAAAGAAGATTTTTTTTTCTTCTTTTTGTATTTTTATACAAATATTTTTAATCTTCCAAAGCCCTTCGGGGCTGATGACAACAACTCTTGTATATAGCAAAAATTGTTAGTATTAATATCGAACCAACAATGGATTGACTGGACTTGTATTGTACTTGTGTACTATTTGGTTATCCGCCGGTGAGTGTTCCTGCTTCCATCTCCATCATGCGGCGGTAGAGGCCAGGTATCTGCGTTCGGGCGCCGGTAGCTATGTACTGGTCTCTCACGGGGATCTTGATGAGAAGTCTTGTAGTTCCTAATGTCATGTTCGCCCAGGCAATAGTTAGTTAACCTTCGAGTTGGAATCATAAATTGAAAGTAATTCAACTGCACACCCAGAGATTCAATGAATACCATCAAATAATTCAAGTTTCGGCATCCATGGATGTACACGATTGGATGCCCAAGTGCTATGTACATATCGATTTTCCAGTCGAATTTTCCCAGAGCCATATGTATATCTACTACTAGTAGCTGGCAAGGGGTGTCCGTTTAGATCAACCCCGCTTCTCCCATTTCCTCTGCACCTTTGGAATACCAATCGGTGGGTCGGAGAGGAGGCCAATGCGGGGATATCAAGGGGGGATTTCCCCCAGGCCTGACGAATGCAGTCCAGATGAGACAAGCTTGCGTCTGCAACTTACTCACATTCCTCCAGCGTACAGTCTCGTCGAATTGATTTGAGCCAAATTCTCCACCCCCGCGGGAAGGTGCAGTAGGGAGAAGTTCCATGCATCAATCGAGATGGAAAGTTCGGCCACCGGTTGGGCAACAAGCCCACCGGGAAGGTTCTCATCTCCGAATATCCCTGAGGATCCCCAAGAAGTGCGTGTTTGCTGATCGTCGGATCTCCAAGGTATGTGGGCAGCCAATTAAATGGAGCTGAAATACGGAGTATTCAGCCATACCGAACTAGCCCCAGTTCAATTGCGCAGGAAGGTAGGGCGATGGGGCACCGCTGTTCGCAAGGGGCAAATCGGAATGTAATGATGAGGAGGCGTGGTTGGAATCAAATCGGTCATTTGAAGGCCGGCTGCTCCAAGAGGTACTAGTAGCTCGATCTGGCTACTCTGTATGGAGACTGAGACTGAGACCGAAGCCACTAGCCCTTATAATCCGGTCGAGCCAGCCCCCAATCCCGGCCCGTCCCGACAGTCCGATTCGATGACAGGAAGCATCCAAACGTTCTGACGACGTTCTAACGCCACTTCGTCTTTATTCGCAAAGCAATCATCCATACCCACCTCTCTGTGGTTTCGTCAAAGCTTGACCCTCTTTGTGGTGTTGGGTCTCTTTTTAACAGTGCCTCTGCTCACCGCTGGTTCGATGTCATAGTTGTAGAATCGTGGTCCAGTCAGGTAGCAGTTGGGTACAGTTTAGACGTGGTCCCAGGATATTGCTTTGGTTCTGTCTTGGGTTGAGGCTGTGGTGTTGAATCCAAGACGACTGGTGATCAGATCAGTGGCTGTTGACAAGGAAACCCGTGACTTCTGAGGGACAACGCAGAGTCCCCCTTCGTTTCCCTTTCCATCT